TGAGGCTCTGTATAGTTGTAGTGGGTGACTGTGGGGAAGGATTTTGGGAGGTGGGGGGCTCTGTCTGGGGTACAGGGCTGAGGAAGGGGTCTTGTGCAGAGGTGGCAGGGTAAAGGGCAATGCGTATTTGTGGGGGACTGCTGGGTGTGGTGGGTCCATGGGGTGCAGGGTGGGAGGGAGGGTGACATGGCATGGGCCCACCCCCACAGAGAAGGGGCACCCTGGCATCACAGGACTGCTGGTTTATAAGCTGGGCTCTTGTGCTAGGTAGAGCAGGATTGCCCCCACTGTGCCATGCCCTATTGCCCTGTGGTCCACAAGGACCAGTCTCTCTATGCCATGTTCCACTGCCTCCATTGGGGCCCACAAATTTGCTTGGAGCCAGAGCCACCAAAAGTTAATCTGGCCCGGCCATACACAGAACACACGCTGCTGTCTCCTTAGGCATAAGGGAGGGTGGCTGGGTATCTGTGAGGAACTGTGACCCTCTGCTGCCATGAGGCCATTCGGATGTCTCAGAATCCTTTCCTGCCTTGTCCCTCCTGGGCTGTCAGCGTATGTTTGTGTTGCTGAGAGTAAGTCGGGCTCAAGGGACTGTTTGGGCCCCATAAATCTTATGGTCTGCCCTGTGGCAGAGAGAGTTCAGTGCCTTTATGAATTGTTGGCACATGGGGGTGGGGCACTCCCTGTTGTTTCAGAGACAAGTTCAGGATGCTGAGTCAGGCCTCATAAAAAGCAACAGGTAGATAAATACAGCAATTGGACATGGGCAAGACCGGCAAGGCAAGCTTTAAGTGAAAGAAGCACAGCGGAATAATTTTGAACCAGTCGAGGACTCTGAGTCAGCTTGGGCAGACCTCAGGGGAGCAGCTCTACCCTTATTTTGCCCATGTGACTTTACTAGTCAAAACTGTGCCCTTCTTTACACCAGGGCAACCCCCTAGAAGTCACAGGATTGTGAAGTTTGTCCGGGCAGGGAGGTGCTGGACTAGATTTTGCTGGGGCTGTGTGGCTACAGCACAAGGTAGAAAGCTGTTTGAAGGAACACAAGGTCTTGAATAGTAACTGCTGTCTTAACCACATAGAATCATAGAATCATAGAGCTGGAAGAGACCTCAGGAAGTCATCAAGTCCAGCCCCCTGCCCAAGGCAGGACCACATGAAAATCTCATATTGGAAAATTTCAAAGCTTCCCTCTATGGAATCAGAGAACATTGTTTTCTGAAATGGGGAGACTGTCTCCTGATTTAGGGAAATAACATTCTCTTCCAATCTAGAAGGGCATGACATTTTCTCCTTGTTTGATTATATTAGATATATTAAATACGGCCTATATTTTTAAGGTTGCTCAAGCTGTGAGAGTTCAAAGGATTTTGAATGACATTTTTTCAATTTATTTTTGTTAAGCCTTTGCAATAATTACAAATAATCAGTCTTATAAGGGACAAATGGCAAGGGTGAAGTAATCCTTTATGTACATAAGTGTATGTTTCCCTACTTAGGAAAACCCACAAAAGAAACCGCCAGAGAGACACTTAGATCAAAACTTAGAGAATCTAGGATTTAACAGTCCTTGACATTTAAAGCAAAATACCCAAGAAAAATATATGGCATCATAAAAGATTGTTGATATTCAGGTGGCCACAGCATTTCAGGAATCTCAGTTTCCCCATGTAGTTCTTCGCCTTTAGAAAATAGGTGAAAATAGGGTTTTTATTTTCATTATTATTAAAATGAGACAATAGGAGGGGTTTGGCACTATCCTGGGTGACAAAGAGACATAACTTTTCATCTATTAGGAACTGAAGTGCGGCAGGCTTCATACGGAGACCTGGAAAGTCAAATAGGCAAGTTTGAAAAATACCTGAAGCCCATCTGAAGAAGAGGGTTTTGCCACAAAAGCTCATGATACTATCTATATTTTTGTGAGTCTCTAAGGTGCCTATTTGTTGTTTTAGATTAATAATGGTCTATGTTGACTATGAGATTATTTTAGAAATATCTGAGATAATTGAAAAATTTTGTTGAGTGAAATCCCAAGCTTGCTTTTTTCTCTGACCTTACCGATCGATTTTTATTGTAAGGGTTTCCAACATTTGCAATTTTATCACATCCAAAATATTTGATGTTTTCCTTCTACAGTCAGATGATTCTAGTTTTGATTTTTTTAAGCATACAGGCTCTTTTACCCCAGCCAAGTTTCTAGCCCTTATGCCATGTGTAAATTGGTCGGCATCCTGCATGCGGACTCCCAACCTTTCATTTTCAGTATCTGTATTGTACCTATTTCTCAACAGAAAGTGTCCCTTCATCTTAGCTAGGGCAAGCAAGCAGAGGCAGATGTCTCCCTATCGGACCTGTGCTGAGGAGAGAGTATGTAGAGGTGATAGAGAGAATATTTGAAGTTATTCATGTTCAGGAATGCTCAGCAAACGGCAGAGAGAAAGACATGGCTCAGTAGTATTTTTCTAAGTGCAGCAAGAATTCTTAGAATCACCTGGCATAGAGGAGGAAACAGAAGTAGCGGCACCCAATGCCTAATTAAATGTTATTCTAGATGATGGATTTTTCTATTGTTTTCATGTATTTTTGAAGGTTTTAATGTAGAAATAAATAAATATTGAAAGATGCTAGCTTTCAACTTTTAAAGTAAGGGCTTTGGCCCTTATATTAATATTTATCTGTATTAGATTACAGAATTGTATTAGTGTGATAACATGTAGGGGCAGTACCTGTACCCTTGTACCACAAGGAGTTAACATCAACTTTGCTTTCCCTTCCCTTTGGAAAATTTTCCTGGGAAAGCCTGCTGGAAAGAGAGCAGAGGGGAATGTTTATGGGATGAACTGGGAGCTGAGTGATTCCCCAAAATGGTGTTGCTTATGGAAACATGCAGTGATTTTCATTGACTAAGATTTGCTCCTGATGATTCCTACTTGTTTAGCCCTGCAGAGACACCTCCAGCACACAGGTGTTGTGTTCACAGCATATACACAAAGTAGTCAGTTAAATACCATCAATATTCTTGCTGCAAGGCTACAGTGAAACTCCTTTTTTTTCTTTGAAATCAGATCTGTAATGCACGAGAACCCCAAAACAAAAGCAGAAACCAGGCTGATCCCAGGCAGAGAGACACACCTCACTTCACCTTGCTTTAATTGGATGTCTTCTGACTGACTCTTCTTGATTGCAGCAGGCTTTAAAAGCAGGACTAATACCTGCCCCCATATCTCCCTTCTACACTCTCAAAGTGAGAGCTTCCAGTTCCAGCGAAACCTCCTTTCAGGAAGAAATTAGTTTACAACAAGCAGTTTAATTCAGCTGTTATTTAATTAGGATGGAATAATCTAGGGACAAAAAATATATGCAGACTAAAATTTTGAAACATGGGTGTCCATTAAAGTCTAGGCACTAAAATGGGAACTGGTGACGACTGGGAGGGCTTGCTAAAAGTGAGGCTATCTTTACTTAAGTTCCTAAATGTGGAAGTGGGTGTTCAAATTAGGTGCTCAAATTTGGCCATAAATCCCAAGCAAACCTTAGCTAAGAGTGAGTTACTACTGGAAATATCACTCTTAAAAATTCTATTAGTAGACCATTGAGAAGCAGTTAAAAGAAACAAAATATTTAAGCCAGGATATTCAGTGAAGATTTTCATTACCTACCTCTGACCCCAATATCTCACCCTATGCCAGTTGCATTTTCTTTGGGGGTCACAGGCATCCATTAGGCCTAGCTACTTCCTGTGTTTTGACTGGTAAACAACAAATATGCACTAGATGCCCAGTCCTCTCCAGTTCAACCACCAGTTCTGACCAGAGAAACCAACAATTCACTTTTTACCATCTCATACAAGCTGGAGACACAGCCCTGCCTCCACCCATCCTTCTGCTACAGAGTAGAGCCTACATAATTTAAACCCCAGTAAGGTCTGGAGACCCCCATTTAAACCTACACACCCTCCTGATATAGGCTAGAAAAACTTTTGTAACTAGCTTGTTCATCTTCAGAATACGGTTCAAGACTTTACCCATTTTGTTCCATACATGCTAATGTGATAGCCAGGTGTTCGATACTGACCTGGACAATCTGGTATTTTTGCCTCCTGTCCGGTAAAAAAAATTCAGAAAATACCGGACACAAAAAATGTCTGGTATTTTTTAATTTTTTTTTCCCTGCCAGGAGGTGAAAATACCAGACACCTGGCAACCCTACACACACTCAGCAACCGGGCCCAGCCCCCAGGTCTCCCCCAGACTACCCCCAGGTCCCCCGTCCATCCGCTTATCTGGCTCTGCAGGGGAGCTGTCTTCTGGCTTGGAGAAGGAGAACAAGATAGCCGCAGTCAAAAAGCCTTAAAGGGGCCATGCTGGTTTTTTTTTTTTTTTGTCAACAACTTTGGTCTCCCTTCTTTTTTTTTCTTAACATAATTTTTTTCCCTTGTGGTGGTGGTTTCTTTGCGGGGTCAGTATTTTTGGTTAAACCATGTGGCAACTCTACATGCTATATTTACTAGCCAGACTGCCAGGTAAACACAAGTGGGTGTGGAAATACTTTATTGACCCCTTTCTTAAGGAAAAGCCCTTCACCTACGTGTAGTTCCTGCTGTGCAGCTTCCGGATTCCAGGTACACATAGCATTTCAGGTTGGCTATCAAGTCAAGTGAAATTGTGAGAGGGAAGAAGGGAATGAGACATACTCTTGGAGTCCATATCTAGGTGTGGCACAGATGGACACTGCATGATATACCAGTAAATTGCTGGTAAGAATCATCTATGCTCTGCCTGTTGATATTAACACACTAATGTAGGGGTCTGATCCCACAAAAAAGGATTCATCCTTACCCTCCCCTGGACAGCCTCTTGTGGTGTGATGCAGAGATTCTCTTGTACTCCACATGAGCCAAAATGGACAAATTTACCTCTGTACTATTCATAATTTTTTTATACTTCAAACAGCACAATTACATCTGTGTTTTTTCCCCTCCTTCATCTTTACAGGTTGATAAAGTGTGTGGCCAGCCCCAAGAAAGAGAAGGAAAACCTTCGGCAGATAATATAGTGCAAGCAAAGGATGTGTTTGATACACAGGCTCTCACGATGGCTCACTCTGCTAATCTAAACAATAAAAGGAGGTAACCCTACATAAATCATGTTTCTAAGTTCATTGAAATAAACCTTATTCCTCATAGTTGGCATTGTTTCTTATGTGGGAATGTTTAAACCCAATTCTGTCCACCCACAACACCACTGGGCTTTCCTTAGAGCAGGGTCACCAACCAGTAGATCAGGATCTACCAGTAGATCTTAGAGCCTCTGATAGGGGGTCCTGACTGGTTTGGTGGGGAAGCTCTCAAGTGCTGGCACTTCAGTTGCCCCTGCACCCGCTATCATGCTGCTCCTGCCCTCTGCCTTGGAGCTGCCTCCTGGGAGCCTCCTGCTTGTTGTGCAGGGTCTGGGAGGGAGAAGGGGGGAGGAGTGCTGATATCAGGGAAGTGCCCTGCTCCCCCCCACTCCTGTACCCCATCTCCACACAGAGAGAAGGGGATGGAGGAAGCTCAGCAATACAAATCTCTGTCACTCTCACACACTGTGTGTGTGTCTGTCTTTCTCACACACACACACTGTCCTTCCCTCTCATCTCCTGACCCAACACGTACATGGGGGGTTGTTACTACTTTTACTGCTTCCAAAGTGGGTCATTTTTAGTTTTTGACTGGTCTGTGCATTTCATAACTTTCATGTCTCTCTTACGCTTAAATTTAATTCTTTGAGTAGTGACTTCTAAAATGCCAAACTGACAATTATCCCTATGGTAATTGCTGCTCCTGGAAGTGGCTGGCATGGCCCTGTACCCCCCGAGAAAGACAGAGCAGGGGGAACCATGGCCAGTAGAAGCTGAGGGCTCAGTGCTGGTAGATATGGGACAGCACATGGTGCCATGGAGCCATTACTGTTATAGTGGACAACCATGGCCAGTGGAGGCCGTGGGGTGGGTGTCTGTGGATGAGGGGCAGCACATGGAGCCACTGCTGTGCATGTCAGCTGCTTTCAGGAGTGGTGCAGGGCCAGGGCAGGAGCAAGCCTTCCTTTACTCCACTGCTGCATCCCTTGAGAAGCTGTTTGTCCACTCCCAGGCTATGTCTACACTGGCGGGTTCTTGCGCAAGAACGGCCATTCTTCCACAGAGCATCCACACTGCCCGCCTGCTCTTGCGTAAAGTGTGGTAAGAGAGGGCTTCTTGCGCAAGAGCTACACTCTTTTCTAACAAGTGTAAGCTCTCTTGCACAAGAGGGCAGTGTGGATCTGCGGCAGGGGTTTCTTGCGCAAGAAAGCATCCACACTGCCATGAATGCTCTTGTGCAAAAACACATGGCTGTGTGGACGTGTTCTTGTGCAAGAACTTTTGCTCAAGATGCTGCCACTATAGATATAGCCTCAGGATGGGTCTCAAGCCCACAGCTCTGCCCTCCCCAGGTAAATGCCCTAAGCCATTCAAGAACCCACCCTACCGTCAGCAGATCTCTCATCCTGTGTTGGTTGTCCACTCTCTCCCAGGGTAGGCAGGATTTAGGCCCCCAACCCTGTGCTCCCCAGGCAAATGCTGTATCCCTGAAGCCACTCCTGAACCCACCTCAAGGATCCCTTATCCTGCTTTTCTAAACCAGAGCTGGCTCCATCCCTGGGGCAGCTTGTGTTGGCTGTCCAGCTGCTCCCCGGATGGGTGGGACTTGAGCCTACCACCCTGCATTCCTTAGGCAATGCCCCCATCCCCTAAGCTGCTCCATCTCCCTACCTTTAGAGGATCCCCTTATCCAGAGGGTCCCCTTATCCTGCTTTCATCATGCAGGAGCCAGGTTCCTCCCTGGAGAATCGGTGTTGGCTGCCCAGCTGCTGCCTGAGTGGGATCAAGCCCACCACCCTGTGCTCCAGAGGCTGATGTGCTGTTCTCAAGTTCACTGCAAATCCCTCTTCACCTACCTACCTCCCCCCCGCCCCCCACATACATACAACACATAATCAAAAGCAAATAGGGGCTGTCTTGAGCTGCTTTGGTGCCTAAGGAATTGCTTAGTCTGCTTAGGCCTACAGTGGTGCGGCTTTCCTCATAGTTGTGTACAGTGCTTTTTTTGTTAAAAAAAAAAGGTGCCAGTACTCCAGGGGAAAAGTTGTTGAGCTCTGACGGGAGGTGTTGGCATTGCATCTGGAGGTGCCGGTACTACATACCGGGCAGTACCATCACAAAAAAAGCACTGTCTTGTGTAGATGTGTTTGAGGGAATAACTGGTCCCTGTAGAGATTCCAGTTGAAGTCTGACAATATTTCTTTCAAGCCATTCCTGATGTCATTGTGCATTATTGACTAAACCTTTAATTTGACAAACTCCTGGGCTATGTCTACATTACGGGGTTTTTCCGGGATACCACCATGACCAGGGAACATGTCTGCTCTTCTCCTTTTTTTTGCAGAAGAGAAGACGCGCTCTTTCGGAAGCCCTGTCTTCCTCCTCCCACGAGGAAGAAGGGCTCTTCTGAAAGAGGTGGCTTTTCCAAAATTTGGTCCAGTATACACGGGCCAAATTTTGGAAAAGCCTCTTCTAAAAAACTATCGGACAAAGGTGCGCAAATTCCGGAGTGCAAATTGCACCTTTTTCCGATAGATCAGTGTAGTCTAGACATAGCCTTACAGTGGGAGCTTTGGCAGAGTAAAAACTGGGTGACTTCAGGACATTTCTTATGGGAGCCTGTTTGCTCCAGGTCTTTAGGGCCTGTTGTTATTGGGATGGATAGTCCATGGAATGGGGCTGCATGCGGGGAGGAAGGGAATTTCTATGATGTGGAGTCACTCCTCTATTCTGTAGGGGAGGAAAGAATTTTGTACACACATTCCTTCCTCCCATCTACACGTTTTGTTTGCCTTTAAGGTGCTGCTAGACTATTCTTGTTTTTAAATTATTCCTTCCTCATTGGATTAGGCAGGGGGCTTCTGTTAAATCCATGAATTTTCAGGGATTTGAGCCAGGCCAGCCTCATCTGTGCATAGGCCCCATGCTTCCATGTGGGCCTCAGCCTTCCAGCCACCTGTCAGTGCAGCTGCAATGGAGCTTTGTTACCAAGTTGTCTCTGCCATGGCATGACCTTGGACTCCCATATTCTTTATGGAAATATGCTTTTGAATATAAATATGCTTAACTTGAATATGCTTGATGCAAAATATCCCATGTAACATATCATTTTAAAAGTTGTAATCTGCTGGATGTATATATTCTACTTGTGTGCATGTATCATTCCTGTATTTGGAGCTAGAAATACAAAGCATAAACTTGTTTACTGATTTAGACATGCTAAGTAAGAGTCGTTAGTGCAGCCATGGCCAACCCATGGCTCGCGAGCCGCATGCGGTTCTTCTTCCCTCCCCACGGGTGCAGCTCGCAAACCTTGTAAAGCCATCCCCCATGGTTTGTAAAGCCGTCCCTGTGCCCCCGAAAATGGCCTTCTCCTCCCAGCTCCCTGTGCTCACCAGGGCAGGGGAGCTGTCCGGCACAGCCATTAAAGATGTAGTATAAAGATGGTGTCAGCCGGCGGGAGCCTGATGTGGCTAAAAAGCCTCTAAAAGCAGACTTTTTTTTTTTTGCTCAACAACTTTGCCCTGGCTCTTCGCACTGGATCCACTGATATGTTGGCTCTTTGCCCGGAATGGCCACCTCTGCATTAGTGATACTTTAGGAACTTAATGGCCTGATACATGGGTCAATGAGCTGTGAATAGTCTTGCTTCTCCTGTGAGCCTGGACTGTGGTTGGTTCTACAAAGACATGTGACCAGGCACCTGATACTGGAAGCCATTTTGGATGCTGACTTTTCCACTCAAGGTGAGAAAAGTTTGAACAGAACACAAATGATTCCCACCTTAGGCAAAATCTGTATAAAGGCATGAAACCAAACATTAGGAGCTACTGCCAGATGACAAGAGACCCCTGATTACCACCTAAATTGACTGCTGAAAATATCTAAGACTGAATAGGGGGAAGGATTGAGCCCAAGCTAGGAGGCTGCCTATCTTGTGAGAAAAGGTGATTAAAACTATTGTTAAGGTACAAAATTGCTTGTAACATGTTTCTTAGCTTGTGTATTTTTGTTTTCCATTGCTTAGTAACTTACTTTGATCTATCTGCTATTATTTGCAATCTCTTAAATCCAACTTTTTATACCTAATAAAACTACCTTTGTTTATTAATAAACTCAGTGTAAATAATTATTACAGGGGGATGATAAATCTCTTTCATTGATAAAGGGGGTGACCAACTTATGAACTGTATACATTTTATGCCTAGTGAGACAGATTTATCTGGGGGTTTGGTCCCATTGGGGCTCTGCACTTGGGTGCTGTGTCAAGTCCCTTTAACTGAGCCTTCCCAGAGCTGAGTAGATCTCAGTGACTCTCTGCTGTGGGTTGTGACCCCATCTCTATACCATTTCAGGGGGGAGATCAGTGTTTTTGGCTGAGCAGAACAGCATGGAGAGACACCCTAGAGAGTAGGTGGGTGGGCTCAGTGATATAATCAGTGCATCGGGTGACAGTCTCAAGGGCATTGGACTGAATCTTTCACAGATGATTCTGGTTCTTTTGTGCCTAAACTATGGGTATGGCTACACTGTGGGGGATTTTTTTTGAAGAAGGTATGCAAATTGTGCTTGCATTTGCATATCTTCTTCCTTTTTTTCCGGAGAGGATTTTCTGATATTTGGCCTGTCTACACGGGGACAAATGTCGGAAAAAAACCCTCTTTCAAAAGCCCCCCGTACACCTCATTTTATGAGGAATAAGGGGGCTTCTGAAAGAGAGTTTTTTTCTGACATTTGGCCCTGTGTAGGTGGGCCACATATCAGAAAGTCCTCTTCTGGAAAAAAAATGGAACAAGATATGCAAATGCGAGCACAATTTGCATACCTTCTTCAAAAAAAAATCCTCCACAGTGTAGCCATACCCTGTGTGGTGTAGGAGAGAGAGTTTTGTGATGTGCATACTCTTTGGTTCCTCCCTAACCTATACATTCCTGC